TGGTACAGTGGAGGCCTACCTTCCTGCTCACATACAATGGGGAAACCATATTTTCCTTTACTTCAGGCAGCAAACTGTTTTGGGCCTTCCTTCTGGGACTCTTTCACTTCTGATCCTAACAGGTGATGATATTACCAATGATAAAGGTGGGGCACAGACACACGGCCTTTGCATATATGAATGAATACATCAAATTCCATTATTTGCAGGAAAGGAAATAATTTTCAGGCACTTCGTCTCTCTATAACTAATAAATCTTGGAAGAAGAAAAATCCACTGTTACTAAAGACCAAATACTATTTTATATCTATAGTGCACTATTCATTTGCTGTGTCAAATAAGCAAATGTTAAATGTTTTGATTTTTTCACAGGAATTCTGCCAAGCACTTCAGCAGCCTGATGCTAAAGTTTTTAAAAACTACTTAAAGGTAGGTTAATTTTAAGCGACTGGTTTTGCCAAATTCTAATAGAACTAGACCTACAACATAGCCAATTGGTGATATTTTCAACTAAAAGTAAATATTGTCCCTTAGTTTCAGCTATCCAAACAAAAATAGTATTTTAAAACACAGCTGTTGCATTGGCTAGTAGATTATTTTGCAAGGAAAAAAAAATAATGCTGTCAGCTTCACAAAATCAGCATTCCATTTCATGTGAGCATGTGTCTTCTGGCTGTTTGGGCATTGTGGAATTCCCTCGATTGTGTATGCACAAACAACCTTTTGAAGATGGGACAATTTTATACCTTGCAGTAGACTGGAATGTCCCTTAGGTCAGCAAACACCATTTAAGTCATTCTCTTACGCACATGGAGTTCCTTCACACAATGTCTTATTTTTATGGTATTTTATATTCAAAACATGGATTGCATGTTTTATGCCATACTAGTATCATAGTATAAAAACTGTTTTAAATAAATGGATTATCTGAACTTTGAGACTACAATTCCCACAGTCATTACCATTAGTCTTACTGGAAAAAGCTGCTTGGAGTTGTAGACCAAAACAAGCAGAGGGTTGACAGTTCCCCATGCCAGTAAATGCAATTTTTTTTCTTTCCTACAATCAGTAGTCCTATGAAATAGTTACATATTTGTAAGTCTGTGTGGTTGTAATTTAAATACTGCTGAAATAATTTATACTTTATTCCTCAAAATGTGAGTGTGACAGATTTGCACTTAGGTGAAGCTGATACTTATTGTTAATTGAGTTCTTTCAGTTTTCAGTGCATCAAAATGATGAAAAGGTTATGTGTGTGTGTAAGGTAAAGATAAAGGTTTCTGCTTGACATTAAGTCTAGTCATGTCCGGCATTGTCCGTAGATGCCTCCAAGGTCATGTGGCCAGCATGACTGCATGGAGAGCTGTTAACCTTCCTGCCAAAGCAGTACCTATTGATTTACTCACATTTGGCAGAAGCTAGGGCTAACAGAGGAAGCTCACCCCACTCCACAGATTCAAACCTCCAACCTTTTGGTCAGCAAGTTCAGCAGCTCAGTGATTTAACCCGCTGTGCCACACCCCCTATCTATATCTATATATGTTTAAATCTACTTATTCTAAATTTAGCTCCATTTATAAGGAGATTTCATTCCTAAAAGACACATACAAGTATTTTCTTCATTTAACCAGTGAGGAGGCAGATAGCATTTTAAGCCTATTATCTAGTTTGGCAGTAGGTCTTGCCGTTGATGAGTCAATATTAGACAATTCTGTCCCTGCCTTTTGGAAATTCCCTTGTCAGGTTGCTGTTTGAGAACAGACACTTAATATTACTAGTAATCACAACTTCATTCGTTAAACTTGCTTTTCATCACTTTTTATCCTTGAAATAGAGGTATTGTGTATTTGTTGTCTTCAACTCTAACATACGTATTTTTTAAAACAGGTATTCTTTCAGAGAGCAAAACCCTAAGAAATCTAGAGGAACCAGTTTTCTTTAATCAGGAACTCCAGATATTAATTTATATGAATGCTAACTTCTGTGCCATTCAGATTGACTTCTTTTTCTTCTGGAAGATGTTGCTCTGCGCTTAAATCCGTATGTGTATTAGCCTTTTCCTGTAAAAGTGCAAATTAACTGCTCTATTTTATGTTGGTTGATGCACGTATGGCATTTAGACAACATAGGTTGCCTGCCTGCCTGCTCAGAACGCCCTGCATAGGATAATTGTATGCTGTAATTACAGCAAAAATGGAATATCCACTTTTTTAAAAATCTTGAAATTATACAATGTATAAACTCCTTCCAACCCATAGCAATGGTATAAATTGTGTACATTTTTAAATACTGAGTAAAATATGTGCATATTAGAAATGGACCTCATTTGTTCATGTACTGTGATACAAAATAAAACAATCAAACTCAATATTGTAGATAGCCATTTCTTTTGATAAGTCTAAATACTAAATATATACTACAAGATAGTTACTAATGGGTCTGATTAAAATAGGACTGGCTCTACATTTTTATATAAAAATAAATTTTATTCAATAAAATCTTGATGTTGTCTTGACTCATTGGTCGCCTTCTTGGTATCGGTATTTTGCTCCTGTAATAGGGAACCTAAAGTACAGTATATTGCAATAGTTCCATTAGGAACTTGCCAGAGTATGATAAGGTTATCCCATTCAGAACAACCACAGCTCACAATCGTAGTTGGCTATATTTGCCACCAAAGCCACCTGCCCTGGCAGTGGTGGTTTTGAGTTAAGCAATATTCCTAGACTCTGCCAGCGAGGACTGGGAGCTAAGAAAGAAGACCCTACTGCACAGGAAGTCAGTTCTTTCTTACAGTTCTCAGAGAAGAGCTCATCACATTGCCAAAATACTAAAACTATATCTAGGCCACCACTTGTATCATAAATCTCATAAAAATGTAAAAATCACTATTCTGAGTAGTTTGTGATGCTTAAGAATAAGGGCAGTAGGAAACGTCATTTTATATTTCCAAGGTTCTATATTAAAAAGAAATGGTATACCTTTACTCCCTCTTATCACATTCACAGAAGCAAAATAAAATCCACACCCATATTATCTTCTGTTTACGTGTCCAAGGCAACTCTCACCATTACAGGCAGTCCCAGAGTTACAAACATCTGACTTACAAACAACTCTGGGCCCTTCCACACAGCCCTATATCCCAGAATATCAAGGCAGAAAATCCCACATTATCTGAGTGTGGACACAGATAACCCAGTTCAAAGCAGATATTGTGGGATTTTCTGCTTGATATTCTGGGATATAGGGCTGTGTGGAAGGGCCCTCATAGTTACAAACGGGGCTGAGACAACAGGAAGTGAGAAAATGTATTTACAAATGATAATTATAGTTACTTGTTATTTTATGTGTGTATGAAACCAGTGCAGGAATCTGTATTTCCCAAACCACTAGGGGCCCTTCTACACAGCTATATAACCCAGAATATCAAGGCAGAAAATCCCACAGTATCTTCTATGTTAAGTAAGGTAAAGGTTTCCCCTTGACATTAATTCTAGTGGAGTCCGACTCGGTGGTGGTGCTCATCTTCATTTCTAAGTCGTGTTTTCCATAGACACTTCAAAGATCATGTGGCCAGCATGACTGCATGGAGCGCTGTTATTTTCCCACCAAAGCGGTACCTATTGATCTGCTCACATTTGCATATTTTTCAACTGCTACATTGGCAGAAGCTGGGCCTAACAGCAGGAACTCACCCCACTCCCCGGATTCAAACTGCTCAAGTTCAACAGCTCAGCAGTTTAACCTGCTGTGCCATGGGGGGCTCCTGATACATATGTATGTGTGTAGGACTGTAAAGGAAAAACGTTTTCCCCTGACATTAAGTCCATTTGTGTTCGACTCTGGGGGGTGGTGCTCATCTCCATTTCTAAGCCGAAGAGCTGGTGTTGTCCGTAGACACCTCCAAGGTCATGTTACCTTCCTGCCAGAGCCATACCTATTGATCTACTTACTTTTGCATGTTTTCAAACTGCTAGGTTGACAGAAACTGGGCCCAACAGCGGGAGCCCCATTCTCCGGATTCGAACTGCCGACCTTTCAGTCAGCAAGTTCAGTGGTTTATCTCCCTGTGCCACCAGTAGCTCTTGATACAGTTGTGTGTGTGTGTGTGTGTGTGTGGAGAGAGAGAGAGAGAGAGACTGGATTGAATGTACCTGTTCTGACTTGCATACAAATTCATCTTAAGAACAAACCTAGGGCCTTTCCATACAGCCTTCTCCCAGAATATCGAGGAAGAAAATCCCACAATATCTGCTTTGAATGGGGATATCCGAGTCCGCATTGCCACACTATATCCCAGTTCAAACCAGATAATGTGGAATTTTGTTCCTAGGGAACTCTCTATTCTGCCTTGGTTAGACCACACCTGGAATATTGTGTCCAATTCTGGGCACCACAATTAAGAGAGATATTGACAAGCTGGAATGTGTCCAGAGGAGGGCGACTAAAATGATCAAGGGTCTGGAGAACAAGCCCTATGAAGAGCGGCTTAAAGAACTAGGCATGTTTAGCCTGAAGAAGAGAAGGCTGAGAGGAGATATGATAGCCATGTATAAATATGTGAGAGGAAGTCACAGGGAGGAGGGAGCAAGCTTATTTTCTGCTTCCTTGGAACAATGGCTTCAAACTACAAGAGAGGAGATTCCATCTGAACATGAGGAAGAACTTCCTGACTGTGAGAGCCGTTCAGCAGTGGAACTCTCTGCCCTGGAGTGTGGTGGAGGCTCCTTCTTTGGAAGCTTTTAAACAGAAGCTGGATGGCCATCTGTCGGGGGTGATTTGAATGCAATATTCCTGCTTCTTGGCAGAATGGGGTTGGACTGGATGGCCCATGAGGTCTCTTCCAACTCTATGATTCTGTGTGTGAATGGGGCCGCTGTTTTTCCAGAGTGCTGCTGCCTCAGCAAAGCACAACTCCCAGGGTGCCGGAGGATTAGGAGCGGGCCGCTCAAGCGGAGCCAAACCGCGTTAATTCCACGGTGTGTGGCTGGCTGGCTGCCTGCTAAAGGCGGGGAGCCGAGGAAGGCCGCTCCGCCTCCGACGCGTCAGGAGGCCGGAAGTGGACGATGAGAGAGAGAGAGAGACCGAGGGAAAGAGAGGAGGAAAGGCCCGGGAGACGGAGGCGGATTGGGCCCTGTGGGTCGGAAAGGAGCTGGCGGCCCTTCGGTGAGGAGAAACCCGGGCTCTGGAGAGGGAGGGAAGGAAGGAAGGAGAGAGGGAAGGAGGGAAAGAAAGAGGCTGAAGCCGGAGTAGGGTTTCGCTTTCCGGCGCCCAGAGAAGGAGTGACGACGCTCTTCTCTGGGAAGGGAAGGGCTTGGGCCAGGCTGCTAGGCCTGAGGCGGGGAAAGCCCTTTTGCAGCCTCTTCCTCCTCAGCTGAGGCAGCTGCTTCAGGGAATTTCCCTTTGGGGCCTAGGGCAGGCATGGGCCAACTTGGGCCCTCCCTCCAGGCGTTTTGGACTTCAACTCCCACCATTCCTATCAGCCTCAGGCCGCTTAAGCTTGTTTGTGTCTTAATTTGGGTTTTCCTCTGGTTAGTCGTGGCTCCAGTTCTTTGGCCAGTTGCTGCCTTAAGGTGATGTTCTCTACAATAATCACATAATGACTTAAATCATGATCATAGAAGACATGGTTGAGACCAGATGCCACAATCCTTTCCACATTTATTAATGAATACATAATAATAATAATAATAATAATAATAATAATAATAATAATAAGCCTTTATTTGTACCCCACTACCATCTCCCGAAGGACTCAGTGCAGCTTACAAGAGGCCGAGGCCAAATACAACAATAAAACAGCAGCAACAACGACAACACAATAACTCAAAAAACAAAACAATAGCAGAGAAAAATAAATAATAAACAACACCCAATGACGCAATTAAAAACAATGGCCGGGCCAAATGTAATAATTAAAATTAAAATTAAAAGTGCTGGGCATGACAAGGTGGGGTGTTTGGAGGGGGATGGGCATGCAGATATCCTGGATCTCTGATAAAGTGCGTTGGGACATAATGCTAGGAGTTTCCTTATTCTGGAAAGGCACACTGGAACAACCACATTTTCAAGCTCCTCCTAAAGATTGCTAGCGACGGGGCCTGCCTGATGTCCTTAGGGAGAGAGTTCCAGAGTCGAGGGGCCACCACCGAGAAGGCCCTATCCCTCGTCCCCACCAATCGCGCTTGCGATGCCGGTGGGATCGTTAGCAGGGCCTCTCCAGATGAACGAAGAGATCGTGTGGGTTCGTACACAGAGATGGTCACGCACGCAGGTAGGGTCCCAAACCGTTTAGGGCTTTGTAGGTAAGCACTTGCACCTTGAATTGGGACCAGAAAATGAAAGGCAGCCAGTGGAGCTCCTTAAACAGGAGGATTGATCTCTCCCTGTAAGGAGCACCAGTTAACAACCTGGCCGGCACCGCCCGTTGGACCAATTGAAATTTCCGAGCCGTTTTCAAGGACAGCCCCAGTAGAGTGCATTACAGTAGTCCAATCTGGAAGTGACTAAGGCGTCAAGAAAATCAAACCCTCTACCCATAGATTCCAGATAGAAGACACAAGACTGCTGTGTTCAATCTTCAAACTCTACCCATACTATCTACAGCCATCCCCACAAGTCAGATGTAATTATAAGGCTAGGACTGTTTTAGGAATTCTCTGCCCACCAAATCTTTGTATATTTTTCAGTTGCTATTTGGGTCTGAAATGGTAACAGACATGAGTTATGGAAGTTCTTTATGTTAGCTGATTATAAACATTTTTGATAAGGAAAGTGAAAGTGAAGGGCAATGCTCTTTGAAGACCAATCTTAACACACACATGCTAAATGCTAAACATTGATGATCGCTCCAATCGATCTAAACATAAAAGATATGATAGGCCCTTCTGCTGTCAAGATCAGACAGGCTGCTCTGTGCCTTTAGGGATTTGGGGCTTTTTCCCATATTGATATGAACAAGTTTCAGACCAGTCCGCATTATCAGAAGTGGAAAAGAGAATGAGATTATTGCTACCCAGGACTACCACTATACAAACTTGCAAAAATCTTAATGGGAGTGCTTTTTGTCTCTCCTTCCACCTTCAAAGGAATTAACCACAGGATGAATTCTGTATCAGGAAACTGGCTTGTTTGGGGACGAGAATTGGCACTGGGGTTTCTAACCAGATGTAATGGTCTATGTAATTTTATTTATGTATTTATTTCCAGTATTTCTACCCTGTCCCGAAGGGGGATTCAGGACGGCTTACATTTGGCAACAATTTGATGCCACTTCATATAAAAAAAATTACAATAATACAACACAATTAAAATACATAAAGCATTAATTAAAACAGTACATAAATATTAATTAAAACAATAATACAATATCATCAGCTGTATTGTCATTCCAGTCAATTTCCAACCAAAGTGCTAATTAAGTCTGCTGTCTGAAAGTCTGGTCCCACAACCATGATTTACTTTCTTCCTGAAAGCCAAGAGGGATGAGGCCGATCTTATCTCCTTTGGAAACGTGTTCCACAGGCGGGGGGGGGGTCACAGCTGAGAAGGCCCTGTCTCTTGTCCTGGCGAGACACGCTTGCGATGTAGGCCGGAGCCAGAGCAGGGCCACCCCAGATGATCTTAAATTACGAGGTGGGACGTAGAGACAAATGCATTTGGACAACTAAGCTGGGTAACTATATGTCAATGCCCTTTGGACCATTTGACTAGGAAAGTGTTCGTCAGTGTTATAAGAGCAATAAATGATCCTCTGCTATATCAATACAGTGTAACATATAACAAGTAATAAGATTATTTTCCAAACTGATGAGTTTATTGTCTTCTGCCTGTATAATTTGTCATAGTTAAAACTTGGATATTGATGTTTAAAAATATTTTTTCCTGCTAATCTCAAACAAGCCCTTTTCCGTTGGGACTGCTTAATTTTATAAACTTTGTCAGTGATGTATATTGCAATTTAGTGATTAAAGCAGGATTTTTCAGCATTTGATAGCAGTCTACTTTTCTGTAGAGCAGGGGTTCTCAAACTTTTAAAGCCGTGGTACCCTTTTGGAAGGAAACGTTTCTCGTGGAGTCCCAAGAAACTTTTGGACACGGACTGCATTGCTTTGTCAGTGATGTATATTGCAATTTAGTGATTAAAGCAGGATTTTTCAGCATTTGATAGCAGTCTACTTTTCTGTAGAGCAGGGGTTCTCAAACTTTTAAAGCCGTGGTACCCTTTTGGAAGGAAACGTTTCTCGTGGAGTCCCAAGAAACATTTGGACACGGACTGCATTGCGTTTTAGAATTTGACAGATGGGCCAGGCCAATGACAATTAGTTTGTGTGAACAAATGAACAAATCCTTATGCACATTGCATATATCTTGTTTGTAGTGCAAAGAAAGAAAGAACTGCAGTATTTAAAATAAAGAACAATTTCAACCAACATAAATGTAACAGTATTTCAGTGGAAGCTCCCAGGGGCCATCCAGTCCAACCCTCTTCTGCCATGCAGGAAAAGCACAATTAAGGCACTCCCAACATAATGCCAGTATTTGTAACAACAACAACAACAACAACGACAACAAGATTAATCCCAGGGATCATCCAGTTCTACTCCAGTCTGCCATCCTGAAAAAGAACCATCAAAGCACTCCCAACAGATAGCTACCCAACCTTTATAATAATAACAACAACAACAATAAGTGAAACCCCAGAGGCCATCCAGTCTTACATCATTGTGCCATGCAAGGCAGGCCTTACAGGCCATTGTAGTGGCAGCAGAGGGGCTTGTTAGCCCCTGACTGTGCTTCACTGAGCCCTTAGGGGTTGAGAACCACTACTGCAGAGTGCTACATAGAAGTGTGAAAATAAACTGAAATATTGAAATTAATTAGGGATTCTGGCCTTAGTGCCTTCCTCCAGAATTTATATTGTATAATATAGGAGATATAGACCGGCTTAGAATAACTTCTTGGAATAACATAAAGATGGCACTGCGGGTTTCAGGACGTTGTGAGCTGGAACTCTCAAGGACCAGTCTAAACCCTAGTTGCCCTGTTCAAAGTCTCTGTACCCTAGTTTGCACTCCTGCATTTATGGATTATCTCAAGATTATTGTGGTACATTTGTGTGCCTTCAAGTTCTTGCCAACTTATGATTATCCCATTAATTTCATAGGGTTTTCTTAGGCCCCATCTACACTGCCATATAATGCACTTCGAAATCTGCCTAAACTGCAAATCCCAAGATTCCTTTGGATGGGAAAAAGTCAGTTCAAATGGTGTCATTGAGGTATTGCTACATAGTCTGAAGGGGCCCTAGGTTTTTGAGCTTCCTTGATGATTACCCCCCCCCCTCTTCTTATGACACTGCCATGTAGCGGGTTTGCACCCTTCATGCAGGATTTCGCCTCAGTATAGCAGGCTGGAAGGCCTCTCCGAAGACGGTTATTGGCAGCAAGACTTTTAGATAAACTGTGCTGATTTTTGGTACAATCTTTTTCTTTTGGCCGCGCTTTTGGAGGGATCCTCTGGAATTGAATTCAGTCCTCTATTACCATTGAAGGCTTGTTTGATTGTACATGTACTGTAAGGTTTTCTACATACTTTTAAAGGGCCTGGTTTTAGTAAGCTCTTATCTTTATAATCTAATAATCTTGTTTATACCTTTATAATGTGTCATGTATAAAATTAATTCTTCTCATTTCTTCAACCCAGCTTCAATAAACAGTTCAAGCTAGAGTTATTCTTTGTCTGTGGTTTCTGATAAAGAAATGAGCACACACTACAAAAGCGAACACTTCAGTCAAATTACTGTAGTTATAAAAACAGAACAAAGTTTGGGCTATATCATTTTGGCAATTTGGTAAAAGTGTCTTTGTCTCCTCAGCTCAAACCAGAATTGCCTAATTGGGAGCAAAGATGCAGAGCACATCCAATTATCTTTGGCTCCTGTCAGACATCTTGGGCCAAGGAGCGACTGCAAATGTTTTCCGTGGAAGACACAAGGTTTGTACAGAGGCTGAAATGCTTTCTGTTCAGTGAAAAACCTTTTAAGTGGCTTTAAAATACCACCCCCACCCCCCAGCATGCAAAATCAGATGGAGTGGGTTTTTCTCATTTCTCAAGAAATTAATATACAATTAATACAGGAATACAGGAGATGTGGCCTTGTAAGAGAGTTTTGTTATAGCTGTTGCCTAATTCTGCAGCTTTGTTCATGGAAGATTAAAAGTAATACCGTATTTGTTTTACTATAAGTTTTATACATTTTACATTGATTGTTGAAAATAACTGAAATTACGGAGTACTTCCCATTTACTGTTACTAATTATGTTAGTTATTCCCCTTCAAAGCTTTAGAAATTGGAACTTACTTAGTTTCTTTTTCAGACAAACCTATATGAAGTAATGGCATTATGCACTGTCATTTTGTCTGTTACCATTTTTTATAAAACAAAGTTCCTCATTTTTTCATGAGAATCTTACCTCTGGAAGTTAGGTCCCATTATGTTTTTGGGCTTTATTCCTAGCTGTACTGCACCCATATTTATTTGTACAAATCGATAAGTGAGAATTAATAAAAACGGAGCGAGAGTTATCCATCTGAAGCTGAGTGGATGAAATTTCTTAAAATATCCTCAATATTTGTGTTACAGAAAACAGGAGACTTATATGCTGTCAAAGTATTTAATAATTTCAGTTTCCTTCGGCCTGTTGATGTTCAGATGAGAGAGTTTGAAGTATTAAAGAAACTGAATCACAAGAACATCGTTAAACTATTTGCCATAGAAGAGGAGGTAATTATTGCCCCCATTCTTGTAATTTGAGAATGACTTTATGATGTTACATACCACAATCAGTATGCTTTTTAATTGTCTGATAAAATTTCCAGTAATAGTATTTACATCTGAACAAATACTGGGTGGGTTAATGCAGATATTGTTGAATTGTGTTTCCAGCATCCCCAACCAGAATAATTAGTGCTGAGATAGGTTGGGAGCTGCAGTGCAACAACATCTAGAGGACTGCACAATTTCCAGACCTAGTTTACTGTTAAGAGAACAAGCCTAGCCTTTTCTTGGGCTCACGTGCTCCTCTTTCTTACTTAGGTACTCCTATGTAGCATTTGGAAACCACTCTTGTGTTTAAATGGATCATTTTAGTGTGTTGCTCAAACCTAAGTTGGTTAAATTTGGCTTTAGTTCATATAACTATGAACTATGTATTAAAATTGGCTTGTTTTCAGTGATTATAGTTAAAATTAACCACAGTTTGACTTGATTCAGACAGTGCAATAAGTGAGTAATTAAGCCTGACAAAAGGCTAGTTTTCATTACAGCAATTTAGAATTTGTGTCCACTTTGCTACCACCCATTCCTGAGAGTACATTTTCTCAACAAGTGTCTTCTATTACCTAACTAAACAGTACCTATTGAAATTATCGCAGTTACACACCTATTAAAATGAGTAATCTGCCCTGAGATTTTGTTAGAAGTAGAGTATAAATATTTTAGTAAGTTAATAAAACAAATGAAATTTAATAAAAACTGCAGGAACCCTCCAGTTTTCTACCTTGCACCTTTAGGGAGAATAAATAATTTTTAACTTCAAAGTTTTTAGGAGTTTCCCTGTATATTTTTGTAATTTAGAACATAATACTCATACATGTACCCTTAATATCTGTTAGCATTTGCACCCAGGTTGGTTGAGTCCATTTTTGAAATCTATTAGAAAGTGACTTAGATAAACAGTTTCAGAAAGTTTGTGCATTTGTATCAGTGGTCTACAAAACTTTTGGTAGTGGATAAACCATCTTGGCTGCATTTTTGGCAATGTAACTTGCTTTGTGTAATTTGCTAATCTTGATTTGCTTTTTTAGACAACATCCAGACATAAAGTCCTTGTTATGGAATTTTGCCCATGTGGCAGTTTATACACTGTTTTAGAAGAGCCATCTAATGCCTATGGGTTACCAGAAACAGAATTCTTAATTGTGTTGAAAGATGTCGGTAGGTAGGAATTACTTTACTTACATTGTTTAATATTTTGTGTTTGGTCTAGTTTGCTGTGGTATAGGCTTCAATTGCTTATTATCCTAATTAGATTTTGTTTTGTATTGAATGTAGTTTATGTCATACAGAAACATAGCTGTGGTGTCATGTCATTCCATTCTGGCTGCGGTGTATGCACATGCACCAAACCACAAAGCAATAGCTGACTCTTAATACTAAAAGGATATCACTTCC